TTTAGAAATATAATAACTGCATGGCCTGTCTCAGTAATTTATGCCTTCATTTTGTTTAAAAATAACTGTCTGCCGGAAGCTTGGCTCATCGTGAATTGGTTGCTGAGGTGGGACCCTGGTGTGGGCTTCATTCCCAAGTGGAGAGTGGACTGGCCATGGTGTACTCCTAGCAGTGACTGCTGCTTTGCTAGTATTCGACTTCACCCAGGCCCATTAGCAATCCACAAGCCAGTCTTGTGCATCTGTTCTTGTTAACACCAACCCACCCAACACCCCTCATGCTGCTGTTATTAATCAGCCATGCTGGCTTTTGAAACTCACAATCCAACCAGTTTGTCAATAGTTGGAGCTATTGTAGTCTCAGGGCATGTACTGAGACCAGTGGCTTTTCCATCTGCCTGCCTGCCTGCCTCTCATCACAAAGAGATAATACTGTGCTATGTGGAAGGTAGGCTGCCTGGGAGTATGGGGGGCATGTTTGACCAGGACTGGGAAAGGTGGATTCTAGAGTAGTATTTTTCAAACTATTTGTGGTAAAGAACCAGGTTTTTTTTTTTTTTTCACCTATCATAGACCAATAAGATAAATTGCTAGAAAAATGGAATAGAAAACCATACAAAATACCAATTTTCAAAATTAGATTCCATCGACATAAAATTATTCTGTCAAATTGCTATAAAAGTTTCTTATTGCTTAATCTCTATTTCTTTACTCATCATGGACCGGTTACAGTTCATGAACTGAGTAGCACTGTCCTAAAGCAAACCAGAAAATAGGTTTCAGGTCCGGGCTGTGAAAAACTAACAGGAAGCTAAAAGCCTTGTTGAGAATAACTGCACAGAGTCTAGACTGCTTTCAAAAGAGAGCAGGCACACTTCATTTTATTGTATGCAGAGCTGTGAAGAAGCTGTGCACATTTAGTTAGATGGTTCTTTCGAAACATCTCCAAGAAGATTCTTATGTCTGTTTCCAATAAAGGACAGTGTAGACTTCTCAAATGCCCATCACCAGGAAATGGAACCTCTCACCAACAAACCCGAGTTTCCTTTTCTTTAAAACAGGGCACAGTGGGATTTGAAAATCAGGTCAACAAATGCTTGGAACTGGCTGAATACCTCTATACCAAGATTAAAAACAGAGAAGAATTTGAGATGGTTTTTAATGGTGAGGTAAGTTGTCATCATGTACTAAATGTATATTCCCAGAAAATCTATTGAGGGAAGCTCCTGAAGCCATAGTTTCCCACATTGCCAAAAGCTGCTTCTGAACTTTTATTCTTATGCATTCTTCGTTTATTTCCCTCTGTGTCCATGAACTTTTCTTCCAGTAGCATTGGGATGACTTCTCCCCTTCACCTCTTTGCAGACAAGAGGTCTTTCCTTGGCAGGTCCGAATCTTTTACCATTTTGGGGTGTGTCTTATTATTGTGTTGAACCTCCACGATAAAAGATTTCTCGGTTCCAAGAAGCTTTTAGGATGGGCATATCCTTCTCTCCCAAGACTGGTTCTAAAATGAAGTTCCCCTTTACATAGATTCATTAAGAAGAGAGCAACATAAATTGTCTCTGCCTGAGTTCACATCCACATTGTACACAATAAAGTACTTGTCATACCAATATTGACTGAGTGCCTGCTGTGGGCCAAGCCCCATGCCAGGAGCTGGGTTATATAGTAGTGACCAAAACTGATACTTTCTCTTCCCTAATGGAAGTCACTGATGGATACAGAAAGTTTCCATTGTTGAATAGGAGCCAATGTTGAATAAAAGAAAATCTACTTGTAACTCAGTAAAAATAACACCGACTACCTTTGACTTAATCCATTTATCAGACAACCTAAACTATTAAGAACACACAGGAAAATCACCAAATGGGGAAGAAAGAGCCCTGAGTAGTTTAAATCAATAATACGGTGCTCATGCATTTCACCTATGGGACCTCGCTCTGATCATTTACACTATTTTAAACATTCTACTAGAAGATTAAAGATAAATGTGATGTCCCAAGCCAGTTAATGATGGCCAACAGCAACTAGAAGGACACTTAAAAACTATAGCAAAAATACAGAAAAACTCGAAAACAGTCTTTAGAGCAGGGACATTAAACAGTTCTAGGCATCTCAGTTTTGTCTTATGGTTTAGAACCAGTATTAATGTTCATTATGTCATCAAGAAAAGATTCAGTATCAATATAATAAACTCAATAAAATATTCAGTATCAATAAAATAAACTGTTTTGAGCATTTTCTAGATATGTGGTGCTACAAAATGGAAAGATGAATAATACCTTTTTAAAACTACCCATATATAATTATTTTTTAACATTTCAGTTTTTAAAGGTGGTAACTTTAGTCATTTCGAAAATTGATTGTGGAAAACAGCTTTCTTGCCAGAAATGGTTGGATAAACTAGGCATTGTTCTCCCTACTACAGAAGTAACATTGCCTTCAAGATGGACATGAAGCTTTATTTTCTTTATTATTATTTTTTTTAATCTGAGAGACTTCCACCAGGGGTGCATAGGATTTTGGAAGCAGTCTTCTCTCAAATTCTCATACTTTTCTGTTTTATTTGTATATTTGCTTGTTTGTGAAAACCGCTGCAGCCTGAGCATACCAACGTCTGTTTCTGGTATATTCCACAAAGCCTCAGGGGAGTGCCGGATAGCCCTGAGCGCCGGGAAAAACTACACAGGGTATGGAATTTCTTTATCTCATATAACCCTTTGCAATTTCCCTGGCTGGTCAGAACATCCTCACTTCAATGTGTCTTTCTAATGAGGAAGAAATAAAATCTAAAGACTTGGGGTGGTGGGAGCCATCTTGTTATAGTCTTCTTGGGTCTGAATTCTTGCTGTGGTTCAGATACAACGGGAACCACTGAAGGATGCATCCCTGTCTGAGATCGGTGTTCTTCATTAAAGTGGCCATTGCAGGGCAATGGAATCATATGCGTATTCCTAGGAACTTCCATATTAAAATATCTTTCACTAAGTTCAAGTCTACTCTAATGCTGATTCATTCTGGTTGTTGGTTTCTATATCTAGTTTATATATTATTTATACTTGTTGACATTATATTTCATTTATATAATACAATGTTATATAGTGTTTTACTCGTTCAATCATTCGACAAATATTCATTGAGCAGTCTCCGTGCCAGTCTCCATGCCAGGCAGTGTCCTGGGCTCTGGATTATACGGAAGTCTTAATTTGTATAGTTGCCCCTAAGAGTTTTTTGTTTTTGATTTTTATTTGATTATCATTGTTTTATGACTGACTTTCAAAATTCAATCATACAGTATTTTCTGAGGGAATTTATGATAAGGTAGACTTAAATAGTCATTAGATCTTAGCCACTGAAGAAACCTAGAAATAAAATACATCTTTGCTTTTATGTTTGCGAAAACACAAATGGTAAAAAGGAAATTGTTCTTTGTTCCAATCAAGAAACGGATTGCATTGTTAAAAAACAGTGGTGTTAATATCAGTCTTGAGTTTTGTTTTGTGTTTCTGTCACAAGGTGGCTCCAAAAATCAAAGCCCTGATGATGGAGTCTGGCACAACCATGGTCGGTTACCAGCCTCAGGGAGATAAGGCCAACTTCTTCCGGATGGTCATCTCGAACCCAGCCGCTACCCAGTCTGACATCGACTTCCTCATTGAGGAGATAGAAAGACTGGGCCAGGATCTGTAATTGCCCTCCATAGAACATGAATTTATGGGGATTCCCTTTCCCCCTGGCACTCTAGAACAACCTCTGTTAAGTTGCTGAAACAATAGGCCATTTCATTAAGGGAAATATAGTATCTTGAAGAATATCGTTAAATCCTTATGTAACCTTGTTGTAGTTAGCAGAACATAATGTTCTTTTTAAAAAGTTGCACATTAGGATCACAGTATACATGTACAGTTATATATACCTCTCTCTATATATATGTATGTATAGTGAGTGTAGCTTAGTAATAGATCACGGCATGTCCCCCACTCCAAGACAATTAACTTCACCTTCAGCAGTTACTGAGGGGCCGAACATGCTGCAAACCAGCTTGCCCTACAAATCCAGGAAATATGTTTCTCAGAATGTCATGTCGTAGGGACCAAGGAAAATCCTGTTGGCAGGAGTTGACCTTGTTGTCAGTGTTTCTCCCACCTAATGTGATGACGGATGAGAAAAAGCACCACTCGATGACAAGAGTCACACCCTCCTCATTAGTATCCTGTTAGGGAAAAATAGTAGCAGAGTCATTGTTACAGGTATGCTCTTGCTGTATTTTTAGAGATTAATTTGTGTAGATTGCGCATATCTCTGTTGTCTGACCTTGGGAGGGAGGGAAAAACACATGTAATGATTTAAATGACTGTCTAATTGTAGGTAAATGAAATATTTACTTATTTATATTCAGAGATTTACCATGTTAAAGAGGTGTCTTGTATTTTCTTCCATTTGTAATGTATCTTATTTATATATTAATGCAGTAAGTTCTGAAAACTGTTTATGGTATTTTCGTGCATTTGTGAGCCAAAGAGAAAAGATTAAAATTAGTGAGACTTGTATTTATATTAGAGTGCCCTTAAAATGATTTCAGTATAACTTTACTGTCTGTGAGAGAATTCTGATACTGTATATAGAGTCATATATATAGAAATCTCATTACTTAAACAGCATCTGCTCTTCTATTATCCTCTCTGGCTGTATGTCTGATATTCTCAATGCTTTTCTAGTAACTGTTGAATAATGACAAGATCTCCTGTAATTTTGTAGTAGTTCATGACCAATCTCTGTGACTCGCTTAGCTCAAACCTAAGGCAACATTTCCGAAGACCGTCTGAAGATCTCAGATAAATTGACCAGGCTCACCACTGTTTTTGAGGAAAGGAAATTCACACTGTGCGTTTTTGAGTATGCAAGAATTTAAAACAATAAAAATATTCTCCGTGGAGAATTTGAACAAAATTTTCTTCCAGTTCGTGTTTCATGGAGAGAGATTTCTAATTATAGTTACGTGGATCGCCATGGCCCATTCACTGTCCACTAGCTGACTTTAGGCGGTGCTCAGTACTGTTATAAGCTGGGACTCAACCCACTGTCATAGGTTCCTGAACCCCTTATCGATAAAATCATTGTGATTGTAATTAAATAAAAATTTGCATTTCAAGACTGGAAAAAGAAAAGCCATCTCTGTTCCTCATTTTCCTATTTGTATCTTGGAGTTTCATTCATTCAGTCACTCAATAAATGTTTTCTTTCTCTGTGGCAGGAACTGTTCTTGGCTCCAAGATTATAGTGATGTGCATGGCGGACAAATTTTCCTTCTGTTGGGATCTTACATCATTTAGTGTCTGCGGTATCTGAATATCTCCAAGTGCACAGAATCACGCCTTCCTTCTGCTTATGCTTGTATGGTGGTCCCAATTCACTTCCTCAGGAAATATGTTTTGGTGCTGGATCATTAGGAAATAGGGCCCATTTTCTATGATATTCTATTAAACTATACTAAGACTATCTCGCTTGTTTGGAGATCTCTATTTAACACATGCATAATTCGATGAGTCATTTGTAATTAGTAGACTGATTGCACATGTAACCATTGTATTAAACAAACAGAGCTCCATAGGGAGGTGATCATCAAGTCACTTTATTTTTTCTCCCAGTGTTCCTTCAAATCCCCTCTGTAGGCTAATTCCTTTCACACCCCTATTTGAATTCTGGCCAATCCCACAGCTTTTCTGGCTTCTCAGTCACAAGAGCAGTTTCATTTTAGCAACTAAATGTCCAGCTCAATGTAATAAGTCTCACATTTTATACAATATAGAGTTTCTCCCCTCCCTCCATCTGGTTTCGTTTCTAGCTGCAGTCCTGCAGCAGCTGGGGGAGCAAGAGAGGTGGTGGTGGGGTGGGGGCAAGTCGGGTTTTTTTTTTTTGAGCTCATCTCTACTCACTAGCTCCTGTTCTTTCCTGATCTAATATCCGGCCTAGGAGGAGAAAGGGTTAAAGTAACAGGCACAATTTTCGGTAGCTGTTAAATTGTTATCTGGAATCTGGGCCCATGGCCCATGAGATTTTTTTCTCATGAGGCAATTTTTTGGAGGGAATAGGTATTTATTTTTATTAAGTAAAATTAAGATACAGTAAAATTTATTCGTTATAGTGTATTGTGTATAGTTTTCTGAGTTTTGACAAACCCATTCAGTCACCTAACTACCACCACAATCAAGATCTAAACTAGTTCCATCAAACCAACAAATTCTCCCACATTCCTTTGCACATAACACCTCTCCCAATCCCCAATTTCTGGCAACCTCTGACTAGTTTTCTGTCCTTAAAGGTTTGCCTTTCTATTATGTAAATGGAATCATGTAATATGTAGCCTTTTGAGTCTGGCTTCTTTCACTTAACACAATGCATTTGCAATTCATCCATGTTGTTGTCTGTATAAGTTGTTTGTTCCTTGTGTTGCTGCATAGTGTTCCATTTGTATGGGTGTACCACTATTTGTTTATCCATTCTCTAGTAGAGGAAAATTTGGGTTATTTGCAATTTTTGGCAAGTAAAATGAAGTCACTATAAACATTAGTGTGTTTATTTTTATGTGAACATAGGTTTTCATTTAACTTGGGTAAATACCTAGGTCTTGGATGGCTAGATTACATAGTAAGAGTATGTTTATAAGAAAATTTTCCAAAGTGGCTGTACATTTTGCATTCTCACTAGCAACGTACAGATTTTCCAGTTGCTTTGTATTCTTGGTAACACTAGTATTTTCATTTTTAAAAATTTAGCCGCTCTTTTTGTTACAGTTTTATTGAGATATAATTCACATACTGTATAATTCACCCATTTAAAGTGTACAGAGCTGTACATCTATTACCACAATCAATAGTAGAACATTTGCATCACCCCAAAGAAACCTTGTACCCATTAGCAGTCATTCCTTATTCTCACATACATACCCCCTCTAGCCCCTTGAAACCACTAATCTACTTTCTGTCTACAGATTTGCCCTTTCTAGACACTTTATATAAATAGAATCACATAATATATGGTCTTTTGAGACTGACTTCTTCCACTTAGCACATTTTCAAGGCTCATCCATGATGCTGTACCATCTTTCAGAACTTCATTCCCTTTATAGCTGACTAATATTCCCAAGGTATGAATATACCACTTTTTATCCATTCATCAGTTAACAGACATTGGGATTGTTTACACTTTTTGGCTATTGTAAATAATACTACTATGAACATTTGTGTACAAGTTTTTGTATAGACACACAGTTTTATTCTAATCGTGGTACCTTGCTGTGGTTTTAATTTGCTTTTTCATGAAGCACTTTTGAAGGATTCCACTGGGGTCCTCCCACCTCATCACACACAAGGCAGTCAAGGTTTCTTTCTGTGAACACTTAGGGCCCAGCCCCTCAGCCCTGGGCCCCGGGCAATCTACCCTGCCCAAACCTTATGTTGGGATCCCTTTTCTTCCAGGGAGTACTCTTGGATGGAGTCCCTTTTATTTTAAAAATCAATTATGCGTATTACATAGTTTTTTTAACATGCATATTTAAGATAAAGAATAACAATAATATAATACTTGAGTACACACTATTCAACCAAAGAAATAGAACTTTGTCAGTACCTTAGAGCTTTCCAATCCATGAACCTTTCCTAGTGGATGTCCCAAGCAATGATCACTATTCTGAATTTTACATTAGTCACTGTTTTGGTTTTTTATATTATAGTTTTAGCATGTATATATGAATCATTATTGTCTAGTTGTACATTTTTTGTACTTTGTATAAATGGAATAATACAGGATATATATATATATACTTTTGAGACTTGTCTTTCTATTCAACTTTGTGATTTTGTAGGGCCAGAACTAACCCATAGGGAGCCTTTGGGCAGTTAAAAAAAATTAAAAAGACATCCCTTCCTTCAGGGACAGGCATCCTTGTGGCAATGTGTACAGTTTGGCATGTGGAGCATGTAATAGATTTTAGTGCCTACTAAACTCATTGCCGCAAACTGTAAGCACAGCCTTATGTGGTAACCTCATGTTTTTGAGATTCCTGGTTGATGATGGTTCCAGCTGCAATTCATTTATTTTTATGGATGTAATGCTATTTCATTGTATGAATGTATTCAGTTGGTTTATCCATTCTATTGAGGATTTATATATGAGTTTTTCACAGTTTTTGCCTTTAGGGACAATGTTGCTATGAGCATTCTTGTACGTGTTTCCTGGTGCACACTTAAAAAAAAGTCTTCTAAGGTTTATACTTACAAGTGAAATTGCTGGGACATAGAGTACTCGTTGAACTTTATTGAGTAAAGCAGAGTGGTCATATAGAGTTGCACTTCAAACAGCAGTGCATGTTGTTCCATAACCTAGCCATCACTTGGCCTAAAATTTTTGCCAATCTGATGAGTATGAATTAGTATCTCACTGTGGTTTAATGTCTTTCTCTGATTGCAAATGAGGCATCTTTTCATATTTGTTATGAAACATTTGTGTTCTCTCTTCTATGAAATGTCTAAATCATGCCCTTTGTCTAATTTTTAGTTGTTTGTCTTTTTCTTATTATATTGAGAAGTTCTTCACATATTCCAAATACTAATTCTTCTTGATAATACATTTGGCAAATATCTTTTCCTAATTTAGGGCTTGGCTCTTTATTTGATTAATGCTCTTTTTGA